CAGCGCTGCCGCCCTGGCGGCAGCGAGTTTCTACGGTCCGGCACATCTGCCGCCCACCAGTTCGCCGGGACCAACCGCAGCGCATCATCTTCAGGCCAAGGGGATACTCGCCGGCGCGCATCATCATCCGCACCTCAACCCCCACGGTATTACACCAGGTCAGCTTCCTTTTATCTATTATCTACCTTCGGCTGGACCTTCGTCCAGCCGTTTTACTGTTAGACTGATCATCCGTCGGATTTGTTATTTTCGGTTAGTCTCGTACGTCACGATAGATCTTCTATTCGCGCGGATCTAGTCGTCTAATCCTCCGTAAAGACTGTCTTTTCCTCGAGGAAAGTGCTCTTGCATTTAATTAATACGTCAGCGCGACGAGAGAGAAAGGACAGGCCACGAGAAAGAAAAGAGTCCACAAGTTTTTTACGAGCCGTACAATAACCGTGTGAGCTAAACAAACTTGTTGCGTGCCAACGGTAATGCTGACGTTGTTTATTTCGGCTACAGTCCGCGGGAGACGGTAGTTATTTTATAGATACGTTTATTGTCCCGGTTTTCACATTGCGGTCATATCATTTTCTGCTTTTTACCTCCAATTAGCACTTAGATTCCACCTCTATCTTTGCCCATTTTATCCATAAAATGAAAGATAAATCACGTATATAGACTTTATCGTCAGGTTTGATAAATATTCTTCGTATCGCGAGTTTGACTCGTCTTTTTTTTCGGTGACAAGTCCGAGCCACATAACGTTAAAGATAGAACGGCAAAAGTCGCCGGTCTTGAGTTTTCTCAGTCGGAAATCGACGTGATAATCGCCCAGCATTTCGAGAAGAAATTTGCGGTGCGGACGCATCTTGTTGTTCTGGCGCGATGCCATTGTCGCCGCCGGAAACGCGCACGTTTTTCGGAAGGACACATTTCGTGACGGGCTGGAAGTCTCTCGTTTGTCACTCATGTCGTCTCGTCTCGTTTCGTCTCGTGAACCTTACGCAATATCCTGATCGCATACAACTTGGCGTGCGACGTCAAAGTCAAAGCGCGCGACACGATGGCTGCACGGAAGAAAAACGGCGTATGAAATATTGCGCGTTTTGTCCGCCGCGCCGCTTCCAAGAGGCGCGTTTTCTCGCGATCTCTTTTTTTTTCCTCCTCGCGCGATACTGCGCAATAATTAGACACATCTCGCGAATGGCGGCCATTGTTAATTCGCGCGACGATAAAGCGACGTAGCCCGCCGCTATTGATATTGAATGCCGCTAATTAAAAGACAGTTTATTACCTTGTTTGCCGAGTCGTTTGGTGCCATTATAAAGATTGGCGCTAATGTCGCGACATTTGATTGTTCCCAACCAATCGGCTGCTAATTGTTTTCTCAATAATATTTATTCCACGCCTGAAAGAAAGAGAGAAAAATTGTCGCCAAAAGTGTTGTCAATGGCTCGACGTTGGCTTATCTGTTATTCTTCGATGGAGGGTTTCGCGAGAGAAATTTATCGGAGTCGAATCGCGGCTATAATGACCCGATCTGTCACAATTCGTGTCATAATGAGATTATCCTCAGGTGTGATAATATTTTCAGAATAGTTGGCGAGTATCTTGTGAGAATATATCTCGTTGGTGAAATATCTCGAGATTACATATATAAGTACGTTCCCCTTGTACATTCTCAATCGAAAGATTAATTGCAACTTTTTGAATCATGAAGCATGTTTCTATTAAACATTTTTTCTGATTAAATTATCAGCTTATAATGCGGACAGATATCCAACTTCTTTTCGCGGGTAGCTAAAGCTTATATATATTAAAGTATAATGAATTTCAACACAGTGTTGAGCAAAGATGGTCTTGGCGCCTAATAATATTTTTGTGTAAATTTTATAATTTTCAGTTTAAACAAATTGCTCGCCGATAATGTATTTTGTTCCTCTCAAAAAAAAGTAGTGTGGTTTCTTTCGGAAAATACATCATATTAATCATGGAAATGTAATTCGTATCGATATACGCGAACTGATATAAAAAAGAATTCGGATTGCACCCGATTATCAGTGATCACAACAGCAACGTTAACATCATCGAAAGAATCGAAAGAATTTTATTTTTTCAGGCGCGATTAGTCTAAGACTCACAATTCAAAAGCACAGACAACAGAAATAGAGAATCCCAGATTTCAATCTATTAGAAACTATGTATTCTAATATAGACACGATTTCAGATACGTTGAAATCTGTTATTCCCCGTTTCTTTATTGCATATGCTCTTCCGTTGTGTTTCAGTCGACAAAAATTGCGATTGGTGCAATACATAGTCAGCAACACATTATAATTTAGGCAGTGATAATATAATCGATCTAGCATATCTCCGGCGTTAAATGAGCAGGGCGGACGTGGATTCGCGACTCGGTTCTTTAACATTACTTTCAGAATGTATTGTCTCGTATGCATTTCCACCGACACGACGAATGGAAATTTCAATTCACATATACGAATATGCAAAAATGCAAGACGTTTCGTGGAAAAAAAAGTGTTTGGGAACGCGACGGCGGCGACGCAATATGCGCGCGAGCGAAATACGTCAGCGTTGGTAACAATAAAATAGGTACATGCGCAATATCGCAAAATTTTTTAAGACTTCTGGAATTATATCGACACACGTAAGAAAAAAGTTGCAAGTTTTCTATTAGCACACGAAATGAAGAACGGTTTAGAAAAAGAAAATAGGACAGAAAAGCACTTTTTATCATTCGTTTTTACTTTGTGACAGTAATAACAGCGGGATGCAATGCTGTCTGCAAATGTCGTGCCAGGTGCGTGAAAAAAAAAAGAATCGGAGGAACGATTTCCAGAGCCGACAACGTGCTCATCGCTCGTCCTCGTCTTATCTGACATCGCATTATTACGCGCGTCCACCTCATCCGCTACAACTAGTTATTCCCTTCGTTAGGCTAAATGATGAATTAATTCCCCAACGTCGGTAGACACGCGCGTTACCGTGTTGCCGCTAGACAATTTAGCTCCTGCTGACATACAACTCTTTCACTTGTTATAATAACGTATCACGATTCAATATATTAGATTAAAAATTTTCCGGGTAAAATTAACCGACTTAAATGGTGAAATATTTTTTATCTAACGAAAACATTTGAGTACATTTTCTTCCAATTAAACGGGGAAATCTTCAAAAAATGAGGAAACCGAAGTTAATTAAAAACTCTTGGAAAAAGGCACTGTGCTTTTTGTTCGCATCTTCATTTGTAATCGCGACGCGCAGCCGTTCGTTGGCGTCGCCGACTTCCTCGCGGTTCATCGCGACATCCGATCGTCGAGCCAGGATGCAATGGCGATCTGTCATCTATTATTGTGTCTCTTTCCCGTCATTTTTCGAAACGGTGCGGTGCGGCGCGGCTCGTCCTTCTTCCTCTCTTCTACAGTCAGTCGGGCTCGTGGCCAACTGACCATAAGGTAGTGGCGATTAATCTTGCCAAGGGCATGCCCGACGTTCCTTGCATTCAAAATTCGGGACGCACGCGTGTACATGCGTGCGTAACCCGTGTACTCCGAGGAGAAAACGACAGCACGGGGATGGCGAGAGAGAGAGAGAGAGAGAGAGAGAGAGCAGAGAAAAAAAAATTGGATATGCAAAAAGGAAAGTAAAGTATACGTTTTATTTCTCTCTCTGTGTGTGTGTGCGTGTCGAATATACAACGCGGCGACAACTTATAAGACGAAAACGCCTTGTAAATGCTTTCGATCAGATTTAAATCGGAATCTAAAGGCCGAAATAAAATATATTAGTCTTTATCGTTAAATAAATTCTAGTTCCACTTTGCATAGCGATAATAATCCCATTGATAGGCGACTGATCGTATTAATCTGTCGTTCATTTCAGTTAGGTGTACATGTATAAAAAGACTACGTGGCGAACAGTAGCAAAATCGCCGCTCGTGAAAACGATGGAAAATTCGAATGTGATCGTGGTACGATTAAATGTGCGGGGCATTGTTGTGTCTTGCTGTTAGCAATTGTATTAAGGTATTGTGCGGCGCAGAAATCACGTTCGGTAAATCGAAAATCCGCGTTCTGCATTTTATCGAGGCTTTATACGCCTGCTGCTTGTTTATAATTTTCAATAATGTATTACTTGTGCAGAGAATAGGCTACGCACAACCGTTGATAAATTGGCCGCAATGAAGCAATGTATTTTCACTGCTTGATAACGGTCCTTCCAATCGTGGGAGAGTTATTAAATTCGCCGCGTATTTGTGACGCGTAACAAAGCGTACGTTCTGCGATCAAAGTTCCATGTCGCGCGTAATTAATATGTAAAAAATCGTAACCGCAAACGCGAAATTGTCTCGAAATCAGATTCGAACGATTCTGAACAGAGATACAGCCTTTTCCAAGTTTTCCCGAAATCTCGAAAATTTCAATATTCTTCAAAATGTCTTTAGTCCATCTTATTAAGCACAATAAGTGATTCGTGTATGTCGCAAGAACTCTAGATATGTATCCCAAGGTTGCACACTTTGCGCTAATTAATGTTTCCGTTTTCATTAAAATAGAAATAGGGCTTGGCGAATACCCGACAGGAAGAATAAGTTACTTACGTTGGAATCACCAGTAATATAATGAATATGCAATCCGACGCGGTCGAGGAGCGACACGAAAATTAGTAAAAGAGCAAAATAAATGGAAATTAAATGAAGAGCGGCTTAATCCGCGCCGTCATCTCGACAGGAACCTCGCACTTGCGTCACACAACACTCAAAGTTTCATCTCCTTTGATAAGAAATAATGTGGCACGACGTTACATAAATGCCGCGTTGCGGACAGTTAACAGCCGACAGTTACTTTTTTCTTTCTCTTCTTCTCTCTCGATTAGCGATACCACAATCGTTGTAAACAATCGTGTTATTCCGCTCACATTTTTAGCGGCTGTCCGACTGAACATTTTTAGCGGTACTCATTGCGCGTGGATTCAACTGAAAAATATAACGCGCCCTATTAAAAAACGCGGCGGTTAAAGAACGTCGCGTCGCCAGTCGCACCGAAACGTGTATATTTCCGTTGCTGGTTCACGAATAAAAATCAAAATACATCGAGTGCACGCGGGTAAGTGTTCGATAAAATTCGATTCGGGGCTGCGTCAGATGTATCTGGGATGTACGTTTGATAAACGAACGGAATACCAAACATCACGGTTCACTAGCGCTTTCGTTCAGTTAATATGCTACGAATTTCAGCGAATTTATAGCCGTTTCCTGAATGCATTAACGCGTAAAAATATCCCCTATTTCGCGCGATCAATCTCTCGTTCATTGGCGAAAGTCCGGCATGACACGACCGATGTGATACCATGATATGTTTATAATCGTAGCCACATGTTCGAGTATGAGTTACATTGCGTATTGCGGTTACATTGCGTATTACATCTTGATCGAGACATCGGCAAAACGGCGGGCGGTACGTGTGTTTCCAATATATTTTAAATATATCAACGACAAAAAAGAGATGACAAGAAACCGCGCATAGAATAACCAGTCTCTCGCAAATCTGTTATAAGATCGCGCGGTATATCATTATCGACTTAGTGCCCATAACTTTACTCTAGTATTATATCCACATCGCTTGTCTTTACACAAACGCAAATACACATTACGTTTAACGCGCAAACAACAAATACGGTTGCAAACAAATTCCTCTGTCCGTGCGTCGCCTAATTATTCATCTCCTGCACACCGTGCATCTTACGATTGCAGAATATAATTTAAATTACGACAGCGCGTGTGGACAGTTTCGTATATAAAAGCCAATCTGATTTATCGACGAGAAGTCGATTACAATAAAAAGACATACACGTGGATGCAAAATCGTGCAAAACTAAAGCTATATATCGTTACATTTTAGAATTTTAGTGTATTACAAAAGGTAACGTATATATTTAACGCGCGTATAAATTAATGTTATGACTGTAATTTGAGATATACGTACAATATATGCGTTGTGTCGTGAGAGCGCGATTCGTAAAAATGTTACATAATACATTTATTTTCGCACTTTTCTCTGTTGTGATTGTCTGCTAAAGTTTATTAACGATTGCCTTCTATATAAAAAAAAATATTAAAAATTCAATAATTTCACAGATATAGTCATTACATATAATTTATGAATGAATGTTATATGAATAAATTAGCAATGATAAATTACAAATTAATAAAAACTAATAAGTTTTTATAGACTCCTTTAATTAAAACAATTAATGAAACCATAAAAAATATATTACAGGCATAGGAGTCGACGCTGGTTATCAATTAACGCAATTTTTCTTAATACTAAAAATATAAACCTTAACTTTGAACGTTTCCACTCATGATTTGAGTCTTCATCAGCAATCTTTCCCCTAGCGCAAACTGTATGAGATGAGCTTTCTAACTTTGTGAGTATGTGACTTACCTCACAACAGTAAACGGTTCAATTTTTGAGAAGAAATACGTTGGAGATATTATTTTGTCATGCAATATTTCAATCGTTGCGCTAGGGGGAAAGATTGCTGATGAAGATTCAAACCATGAGAATGAAACGTTCAAAGTTAAGGTTTATATTTTTAGTATCATGAATAGGATATATGAAACAGATAGGTGTAGATAATGTAACAAAATATTTCAAACGTTCAGGATGCTTTGTTTTTTCAATGTTGGTTTTTATTTTGTTTCGCAACTACGTTACATTTATCTTTATAGCGCACTACGAGAAATTAGATCAATTTATTATAAGACGTAGAGTGCATTGCGTATTTTCTAAAATGACACTAACAAAATTTTTGAATGAACCAACCATCAAAGATAGATTGAATGAGCAAATAGATCTTTTTGACGCATCTGCGTCAATAAATAGACAGTTTTTGCAATACCATTTATCCAGATACGATGAACACTAAGGTTACGTTATCTTCTTTTTAACTTATTAATTAAGAAAAGGATAACGTGATTTTGGCGTTCACCGTATTTAAATTCACGTTATTGCAAAAACTCCCTAATACCTATCATCCGTTAACGCACAATAACTTTGACAAAAAGAATGAACGTTAATCATATAGACTGAATTACAGACTCGTTCAGTTATTATAATTATTATCATTATTCGTTTTGAGAAGAAAACATCGCGTGATAAATACATGAAGGTAAACGACATTGTTGGTTATATATATGTGAAGCATTACTTCAATCGACACGATGTCTTATCAAGAGAGATTATATGATAGAAACAGTATTGTATTGTACAGTAGCGATTATATTTTCTTTTACACGTTTAGTAACGGAATAATTAATATGCATAAGAGAAAACGAGATCAAAAGATTATTGAAGATAATAGTTATCGAGTTCAGGATTGACTTACAGAGATCTGCCGCAGTAACAATCATGAAGTCATTACGCGGTAACAGGTTTTTCGCATTTTTTCCGTTTACAGATGGTAATTGATTGAAAAGGAAAGGAAATACCGGGAGCTGCCGTATCTACATCGTTAACTATTAACTGCATCATTACTCATAACATTTATGGACGGTGATTTACATTAATCATTTTCGCTAACTTGACATTATAGCAAACGGTAGTGTTATCTAGATGGACTAATCCGACTAATGCAATTTCTCACGAAATGGCCTGCATTGACACACAACGCGTGAAATAAAGTTCATTTTTGTATGTCTGCATATTTTAAGTCATATTTCCGGGAAATCGTCGCAACTTTGCTCAATACTGATTCATTTTATCACATTAAACTTTGCGATTTCATTTTAAGTAAGTAAACAGGATTCGCCACATAATATATTTCCATATTAGTTCCATTTGTATAAAGTCAAATTCTCTCGGAGGAAATGTAATTATATTCCTCTATTTTATTAATTTGCAACACTGTTGCTATATTTGAAATCATGATATGCAATATTCGATTACTATAAAGGAGATGATATATGTAGATTGCTTTATTGAATTCGCGAATAGATCTACTCTTGAAGATGCATCTTTGCAGTTAAGAATAAAGTATATATAAATATTCGTGTCCGCTCGCAATTTCCGCAAAACATCCTTTTTAAGACACCGTAATAGGATTAGAGAGGAGAAGAGGAGACGATGAAGTTTGAGACCTTCCTCCTTTCCCCCGGAGCAGAGTTAGGTGAAGGGAAAAGGTGGTCATCGGGGAGGAGAATCCACAACTTTCCTCCGGGGGTTGCTATATATATGAATTGCCAGGTGATTCACCCTTGCGAAACTTAAAGCAGCTGTCTTTTACTTGTTATTTCATCGCTGATTTTCAGCCCACTCGCTGGATCGACAGCTCGCGCATCTTGCGTTTACATAGAATAGCGAGAGAGATTAGATGCTGCCCATCATACGTGCCCTGGATACCGATTTTCGATTACCAACCATGATCATAGCCCTCTATTAAATTAATTCTACCGAAAAATAGCTGTTAGATGTCTTCATTAATTTTCTTTTTTTTTTACCGTACTTTCTTACTATCATGCAATAATAATCTGTATATAAAGAATCTGTAATAAAGAACAAGCAGGTATTGATATTTTTTTTCAAACTAAATCGCACAACATTCGCTAAAATTTCAGGCCTAGGTCTGGGCCCGCATACGCCGGAAGAAGTTCTGGCGGCGGCCGCAGCGGCGTTACATCACCATCATCAAGGTCCCGGCGGTCCTACGATGAGGCCTCTGAGGCCGCCGCTACCGCCGGGGATGCTCCATACATCACCGCATCCTTTGGCTACGCATCATCCCCTCACGGCGCCACATCATCCCCTCGTACCTCCTCATCATCCGGAAGAGGACGGTGTCGTCGATGACCCCAAAGTCACGCTCGAGGGTAAAGAGCTCTGGGAGAAATTTCATAAGCTCGGGACAGAAATGGTCATCACGAAGAGTGGCCGGTAAGTGTCAACGTCATCTTCGACATCGTTATCATGATTACGATCCTTTGTTGCTAATTGAGCAATCGTTGGCTCTCCCAAGACTGAAGCAATCAGAATGCCATCTACCAAGTTTCATCGCACGCGCGCGTCTACATGAATTTGTAATGTTTAACAGACATCAAATGACCGAAGCTATAAGACTTTAGTCCACTTATGATATCTTGCTGATTGCGTGACACGTTATCGAAAATTGCGGTTTCGTTTGGAGCGTTTTGACATAAATATAATCGACGTATGAGTCGCGCGTGTTTGTGTCAAACGATGACTGCCAACTTGTGATACTTGGCACTATTTTCCTCGATATGTGACAAAAATTATTTTTATTATTACTTTACTATCGCCTGAGATACTAGAAAGTAATCTAAAATGCATGTATAATTTTCATATCTATAATTATTCTTCTTTCGATTATTTGAAAATGTTTTTCACGCTTAAGTATGATTAATTGTCGGCGCGAAAATTTTTTTTTTGTTAGTGAATTTAAGTTAAAAATATTTTTATGGACAACTTTACGCTAAAAGTAGTACACTGTAAAAGCTACAGCACACAAAAATCTTGAGCGGTAAGATGTAAACAGTAAGGAAATCAATATATTGAACTTGCTACTGCTTACTGTGATCTTATACTCAGGAAAAGAATTTGTTGATATGTGACCAGCCTCATCTTTTTTATTATCCTAATCAAAAATTTGATTAGAATAACCAAATTTTTGGTTAGGACAATAAAAAAGTTGAGGTTGGTCATATATCAACAAAACTTTTTTCTGAGTGTACAGTCTTTGTGCGATTGGTCAATTCGCTTACTGTTTACATTTTTTTACTGCTTAAGTCTTTTTGTGTATCATGATCTTAGATGTTAAAGGAACAATGGTAACCTAATCTCTTAAATTAAATAAATTTTGTTATTTTTAACTTTTATGTGCATCAAAATGCAAATCAATTTATTTCTGTGGTTGTATTGCTTATTAGTTTCAAAGTAAACAACATGACGATATCCATAGTAACACTAGAAGTACTAACCTTTTTTACTAAAAAGATCAAGCAGATAAATTACAATGAAAATAAAAAACGTGCTGAAAATTGTTTGAAAAATCAAATATTTTATTAGTATAAAGCCGTAAAAGACCAAAACATTTTTTAGAATCATATTTTTTTACACAAAAAATATAATATTAATTTAAAACAGAAACGATCACTAAAATGACCTTTCGATACTTCTAGTTTAACATATGTACTTAGCAAATAATAAACTAAAATTTGAATGAAATTTAATATATCTTTTAAATCATATTGTTTAAGTCCATTATTTTAATGAATATATTGAGTAGAAGCAGTAACGACCTAGAAATGATTAAAAACTCAAATTGAGCATAATTTAACATTATGAATTTAACAGTGTATGATGGCAGTATTGTAAAAAGTACTAAAAGTATTAAGTGTATACAGCATGTTCCAAAATTCACAACTTAAAATATTATATAGTAAGAAAGTTCTCGAAAAATTAAGTAAAAAGGTAAATTTGTATTTCAAGCAATAGTTTTTGAGATAGGATAGAGCAGAGTTTTTTCGTCGATTTCTCGCGATATATTTATATTTCTGAACAGAATATGTTGACTATTTAAAAATTGTGCTTGTGCCCTCAAGTAGCACTCATGATTGTATAATGTAATTATAAGCATGTCACTATATACTAAAGAGATATTGTTTGCTATCGTAAATTTCCGTACCGTATTTATTTTAAAATTGAAACTGACGGAATAACTCCACTCTACACCTCAATAAAGGTTTAAATATGAATAACTACAGACCTAACCTGTGTCACCTGTGTGAATATTAGTGAACGCACTTCACATGAAAATGCTACCGTACGCGCGACTCATGGACAAGTGGCCATAACGTAATCTGTGATAAGTTATATTAAAACCCTTGTAACTCTCTCTAAAACTACTGTTTAAAATAAAAATTTACAAAATTTTTACTTAATTTTTCGAGAATCTTTATGCTACGATATTTTGAATTATAAATTTTGGGACAATATTTTGTAAAAAAATAGCGAAGGCTAGTTACATATAAATTTTTGCTCTTGTAGATATTATACACACACACATAAGAAACTTGACAACTTTGTTTGAGAGATGTGGCCGCGAGTAAAGTACTCTCGAACGAACTTGATACCTCAAATAAACATGAGAAAAAGATCTCATGCGGGTTGTCTCAATTTGCTCATTGATGTTCGCGAACATACAATGCAGAGTTTTTAATTCTCTTGGCAAATTAAATTGAACAAAGAGACGTTCTAAATTTTGTTATTAAAAGAAATGTTAATTAAATAAAATACATAGGAAGATATTGAAAATAATTGTCTATTGCAAATTCGATTTTTTTATTCTGATTTTTTCTCGCATAATACAAAGAAAGAAAGTAAAAACTTATAATGGCGACATATCGATTTTATCTTTAGGTCCTGCGAGAAGAAAGCGTCACTACAGACAAGCAATTTTATTACATGCGAATTTGCGCGTGTGCTCTCTCGAGGAGCATTTACTTTGCGTTATTGCGTACACGTATCACGCATGTATAACGCACACGTGTCCGCACGTATAACGATCCCCTGATCCCCGTGCACGTGTACGGGGGTTGCATCACACGGCACTTTCCCGATGTGATGTGTAGCAGCGCAACGGTAAGAAGATATCACTGCGAAGTTGTAGGCTCTCCCTTCGTCGTCAAACAATTGAAACTTGTCACTCCCACTACCCTCGATCATGCTTTTGTGCCCTCCCTTTTTCCCTCTCTCACATCCTTGCCCTTCAATTTTTGCTTTCTCCTTTTCTCGAAGCGTGAACTTATCTACCTCACCCTATTCCACGAAGTCATGATCGTTCGGTAGTATTGTCGTGCTGGCAAAGAAAATAACGCGCTTGATATGGAAGGCGGCGAATGAGCAAGCCAAGAAGAGAGAGAGAGAGAGGGGGGGGGGGGGGGAGAGAAACGATGAAGAACCGAGCTCTGTTTCGCGATGATAGATCGAGCTGCAAACGGGCAGGTATATCGAGTCTGAATGAAGACGACGCGACGGCAAACTATAATAGCCGAGACTAGAGCACGCGCCCGCGCGACGAAAGGGTGAGCATACACGCTTACATATTTCATGTGCGATGTATACAGGTGCTAAAGCGCGCGGGCGCGCGTGTACGTGGATTATGGCTATACCGATGTGAAAACATCGAACGCCCTTCGTGAACGTGTGTATTGGCCGGATTAAATCTTCCTCGCTCTTTTCCTTCCGCGGCTAACGCGCTTTCCTCGCTTCTCGTGAACGCGTACGTTTGCTCTTCTAATCTTCTAATTCGTTAGAGTCGCAATGACGGGAGGATCGTTTTAAGGGATTGCGCTGTGAGAATCGATGGCTTAGATAAAATCAGCGGTAATTAGCAACGTAATCATTATATTAATTTTTACTGAGAAGATATATTCATAGAAACAAAAGGTAAATACAAGAAAAATTGTTTTAAAATTTGAGACTCAAACTGATATTGTATATATCAATTGTGTTATATTTAGGCCGGTATTCATAATCGATCATTATTTAACGAATAATCACAGTTTTATAAATCTTTGATTATTCATCAACTTATATTTAATTTTTATATGGATTTGTATAGTCTTCGGATATTTTTTACTTTATGAAACGCTGATTTATAAATTACTTCGGCAACTTTGGATTGACGAAATTGTAGATTTGAATCATTCATTTGTTTATTTGGATGATAAACTCTATATATACATAGTATAATGTATATATGGAGCATTAAGGAGACGCTACTTCTTAGTCAATAGACAGATTATTCATAATAATATGTAAAACGATTAAAATAATGGAATAAAAAGATTACTAATAGCATCTTATGCCATTATATATGATTATTGTTAATTTTATATGTTACTAAATATTTTCAAAATGACAAAATCAAAGTTGTATGCCCTTTTGATGTATACGCATCGTCCATTTGATGTATTTTACCTTTTTTCATTGAAGAATATAAATTTCTTGTAAACTCTACGGTCAGTTTAAATGAAACATTACGAAAACACAAACTTAAGCGTTTACTTTATAATTATATTACAATTTTTTAATTATATACAATTTTTTAATTGTTGTCTTATACGCAAATGTCTCTCAATTTAAAAAAGAATAACTACAGAATAAGATTATACCTCCAACTTGTAATGTAAAATTTTATAAATTTAAAATTAAATATCTTCAAAATGGTATGGTAAAAGTCAATAAAATTTTTTTTAGATATTATTGATATTATTAACTTTTGTATTACACATGTATATTATACATGAAAAGAATTTTTGCTTAGAATTTACCCTGAAAATATGATAGTCATGGGACAACATTGTATTTCGAGGAATTTTAATGTAAATCTCTCATTTATTAATAAAACTCTGTCTACAATAAAGTGTAAAGTAAGTTTGATTAATTTTACTGAAGTGCATGGTAAAAATCTTTAAAATATTGTATTGTACCACAAGTACTATATTTTCAGAGTAAATTTTAAAAGATAATTCTCTCCATGTAAACTTGTCTTTCATCAAAAGCGAGCACATTGTCATACATCTTTTTCCTTTATAACACATCTTCAATCATATAATTGTAAATAACAGTTTTTTCAAACACAAATTTCAAATACAGACAAAACAGACATTTGATATAAAATATCAATTCGAAATATGAATCTGTAATTAATTACATTCTCAATTAAAGATTAAAAATTATTTATGACTTTCGGCTTTAGATGTGATATTGTCGATAAGCTATCAGTAATTTTATTAATATAACAAAACGACCCACACACACACACACACACACACACACACACACACACACACACAAAATAGTTTTAGCGCATGCTTATCATATATGATCTGCCAATCTTAGCTGCGTTTTTG